GGAGAAGGTCGTAGAAAATCCGCCGACACGTCATTTTGCGCTTTTTGAAATGGCATTATTAAAGAATAGCTTCTTGGATCTGAAAATTACCATGTTCAGTTATTAAAATCACTATTTCAGTTTGAGTTAATTGTTTGACATTATAGACTAAAAAACAATATATTATTGTTAAACTTTTCCCCTCATCATTTTAGTTTGCTCGTTAACAAAGATGTTTATATTTTTAGCAAAAAGAAAAACATGAAATTCTACATATTGACATTAGTGTAATGATCTCTTATTGATATACATACATTTAAAAGTAATGTTGAACTTTTATATATATCAGCTATTTCATTTATTTTCGTAATTGGTGTTGGTATTTCAAGTTTAGCTAATTCAACTGATGCACGATTCATTTTTAGATGCCATATTTCATCTTTTAAAAGTCGTACAGTATTTCGAAGTGCTGCAGTCTATAATATATATATATATATTTTTATATATAACATTCCTATAAGAAAATATATCAAATTATACTTCTTGTTCATTTGTTGTTGATACGAAACTTCCATCAGCAACAGATGGTGATGATAATTGAGGGTGTAGAGATACTCGTTCATCCGTTGTAGAAGCTAAATCAACAGAAAATTTCTTTTTTTTTCTTAAATAAAATAAAATCAATATATCTTTACTTTTTAATGTTCCGCCAATTTTTTTCTGCATTAAATCATCAACAAGTTTATTTTTTGTTAATTGTTTCAATCGTTCTTTCAATGCAGTTTTTTCTTGTTCAAGTTGTTCATTATCATTTTGTAAAACAGTTATAGCTTCTTCACATTGTCTATAGGTTAAAAAAAAACGAATAACATTTTCTTTTTCTTATTATTATGATGTATCAATCTACTTAATCTTTTTTTGTCCATCAATTTTCACTTCTTCTAACATTTGTTTATATTTATTATCTTTATCTTCGAATTCTTTTTGTAAACTTTCAATTTTTTTTTCATTTAATGATAAACGTATATTTAATTCACTTAATTCATCATGTTTTATTTTAAGCGTTTTTTTAACATCTAATAATTCTTCTTCTTTTAATTCAAGTTTACTACGAATTAAATCGGATTGATTTATTGATGTTTTAAATTGTTCAGCAATTAAATAAACTGATTGTTTAGAATTTTGTTCCGTGGGTGTTGAATCGTATGAACCTGTTTCTAATGAATTACTTATTGTTGTTAATGTAGAAAGTGTTTCATGCATGGAATCCCTAAACAAAAAAAAAGTTCATTTGTTTTTTTCTTCATTTCAAAAAAAATTAAATTAAATTAATATGAAATATTTACCAAAGACTTTCATATGGACCACTATCTTCTTTTTTATAGACTTTATCACATGCTTGATATGCTATATTTTCTATATCTTGTGTGCTTACTCGTTCATTAGCATCTAAATAATAAAGATAATATATTTTTTTGTTTGATATGGAAGAAATGATTCACCAGAAAGTAAGAGAATTTGTGTTGTTAAACCAGAACATATTTCATGAAATGTTTTTGTTAAACGATCTAAATTACGAATAGATGCTTCAATTGAAGATATAGTATTTGAATCGAGAGTTAATGAACGATTTTTATCATCGTCTTGTGGTACAAGACGATTTATCTGTAACGAAAAAAACACAACCCATGTTTGATACAAAGAAAAAATGTTGCTGGTGTTTTCATGTTTATTACTTTGCCAACTTGAGCTCGCATTTCTTCATTACTTTCAATAAGACGCTTAACAAGAACAGCAAATGGACTTTGATCACTACCAGGCTAAATTATAAAAAAGAAATGATTGAAATAAAGTTTTTTCTTTCGATTTATTCTAAGCGTGAAATAAGAAAATAATAATGTGATTAATATAAATAGTCATCGTATTGTCATTTGTAATACTTCTACACTATTGGACACAGTCCGACTCAAGTAGAGCCACAATAAACAAATCGATGTCACACTTCACATAAGACAAACGGGATTTTATCCTTTTGAATTTTGAGGAAAAGGTCAATCAGATTTATAAAAGCAAATGGAGTATCTCTGAAAAAAAGTCAGTCCAGTTGACCGAAAAAGCATTCTAAATCTGGAATCTAATCACAAAAAATTGTTTCATATTGGGACATTGTTACTTGATTTTTGTCAAGTGTAAGTATCAAACA